TGGACTGTTCTTCCAGATTTCAGGTGCAAACACCTGTGAGAGTGAAGTGGTTGGTGCTGTAGAGATGGAGGGAGCTGGGAGTCAGGATCAGGCAGTCTGGTCTGTGGAATCACAGGCTTTTATGCTTTGCCCAGCTTGGGCTTTACTCAAACATCTCTGCCTTTAAGAAATCAGTCTTGCTTTGGAGACGGACGGAGCCTACTGTGTCTGTTGACATCTTGTTCCCCATGCTGATGCGTCTTGCTGCTTAAAAAAATTGAATAAAGCACTGCACCCTGGAGACTGTAATTCTTGTTGGCGATGGTAGCGTGTGCTTTCCTAGACCACTCTTGGAGGACATGCGCAGGCAGATGCTCACCACTGACCACGAGAGCTGCAGGAGCTTGCCAAGCTGCCCAACTTGTCTCTGACATTTCTACTCGATGTGTTTTGTGCTTATTGGAAACACATGGTCACGATCCAGTCCCTAGTCGCTCCACACCGCAGAGTTTCCATCGTTTGCGAACAAGGGCCATCACCACATCCCCGCAAGCGCTTTGGCCCACTCGGCAGCCTGGTTTGGTGAACACACTGCGTTAGGCACGAGGGTTTCTCCCACGGGGGGATCCCCTTCTTTCCCGTTGCCACTGCACAGGGCACCAGCAGAGCCATCAAGTGACACCGTGAAGTGGTTTTGGTGCTCGGCTGTTCACTCCAACTCTGTTACTATATTAGGTCCATCGCTGGAGCCATCTGCCAGGGCAGGCTTGGCCGGTGGCGGCCCAGAGGCCTGCCTGCGAGGTGACATTCCCTGGCTCCGGGCTCTGGGCAGCAGCTGAGCCAGCCCGTGGGACCCAAGCACCGTCCTCTTGCAGGTCATTTGCCAGAGTGACCTTTGCTATCAGTTCTTTGCTGAAGACCAGGTTGTCCTTTTAGGGGTAAAAAGGGGTGTTTCAGTCGGCAGCGGTGGATTTGGCACAGGAGCGCCTGCCATAACGCTGCCTGCGTGCCAGTGCTCATCCTCCCAGCTTCTTCTGTGCCAGCTGCCATGGGACTTATTGTACCAACTCAAAACCAATCTCCTCCCGCTTCAGCCGTCTTTTGTAGCCGTCTCCAAAGCTAGCGTGGTGCAGCAAGAAGAGCTTTTTAAT